TCCAGTCCCTCATTCCCTCACCTCAATATCCAGTCCCTCATTACCTCGCCTCAATATTCAATCCTCACTCCCTCACCTCAGTGTTCAGTCCCTCAGTGTTACATACTGCCCAAGCACATAAAGACCTTATATAAAGGCCCAAGCATGTTTGACCACATGACAGCTGCTATAAGAATGCAGATTGTTGTTTTTGTGAAAGGATAAAATGCTGAAAGAGGTAAACTGCTCATTTCGGTCTGATCTTCCTGCAGATGATCGACATTGGTTTGATATTCCACGAAGGCTCGTATTTCCGCGACGTTTGGAACATTCTGGATTTTATTGTGGTCAGTGGGGCCCTGGTTGCATTTGCGTTCACGTAAGTGACTGACGTCTCTCAGTCAGCTCAACGGGTAGGGGCTCAGTGGGGGGTGGGGGTGGGCTCGGTGGGGGGGGGGGTAGGCTCGATGTGGGAAAGTTTCAGTGTGGCGAGGGGAAGTCGGGGAGGGGGATCGGGGACGGTGTTAAAGTGGGAGTGCGGTCAGATCCAGATCAAAATTCCCGCACTCTCCCCGCCCATCAAATACTCCCAGGGCAGGGACAGCATGGGGTTCGATAGAGAGTAAAGCTCCCTCTACACTGTCCCCCCATCAAACACTGCCAGGACACGGGCAGCACGGGGTTAGATACAGAGTAAAGCTCCCTGTACAGTGTCCCCATCAAACACTCCCAGGACAGGGACAGCACGGGGTTAGATATAGAGTAAAGCTCCCTCTGCACTGTCCCTCATCAAACACTTCCAGGACAGGGACAGCACGGGGTTAGATACAGAGTAAAGCTCCCTCTGCACTGTTCCCCATCAAACACTGCCAGGACAGGAGCAGCACGGGGTTGGATACAGAATAAAGCTCCCTCTACAGAGTCCCCATCAAACACTCCCAGGGACAGGTATATTAAAATACTGTGTTTTTATTGATGTGATGTAGAAATATTGAGGATGTGAATAAAGACTGTCTGATGGGGAAGAATCAGGGTCGTGGTGAGTTTGTTCACTTGTAGGAAGGCTCCAGACACAGTGAGTCGATGTGTTGCCCACTCACTTGGCAGTGTGTGGCACCTCGAGGCTGCAGACCGTGTGGTGCTCTGCCCAAGCAAAATCCGGCGCGCATCGCTAACTTTCCGCAGTCCTTAGTGAGGGTGCTGCCTGGCTGCTCACACTGCCATGTGTCTCTGTCCATGTGACGGTTTCTCTCTGTTCCTGCTCACCTTGGCTCAGAATTTCAAGAAGCCCGACTAATCCTGTGCTCTTCTCTTCTTTCTTCAATGGCTCCTGCTTCATCTTGGACAGGAATCTTATCGGGTAATTATAATCCAGATCTGTCTGTGTCTCAGCCTGAGCATTCCGCAGAGACTGACATGTGTCAACTGCTGGATTGGGATCCCATGATGTGGTGGTTGAATATTGTTGTAGGCCAGGGGGATGTCTCATTGTCATCTGGGGACAATTGTTGGGAACATAGGGGAAGGAAGCTCCGTAGAATTCATCTCTGGAAAAGGCTTAGGCCTCGTTGGGCTGATCTGCCCTTCTCTTCTTAAATGTTCTTTATAGCTAACATGATCAGAAGAAAAATGGTTAGATACCTTCACACTAACCAGGCTACTGGGAAATTAACAATAATTGTGTGTTGTCCATCTCTGAAGTGTTTAATACCAGTGTGGTGGGTATAAGTCTCTGTATGTTTCATGTCCATGTGTTCCAAGTCTGTGTTTAATGCTTGGATGTTATATCACTGGATATTTGATACACCTCTATAACATACATCTGTGTTTAACACTCATGTCTTATACATCCTGAAGCTAACACCCCAGTGTTGTGTATCTCTCTGTTTGATCCCTGTGAGTTCTACATTTCAGTTCTTACTGCCTGTGTCTTGTACACTTGTATTTAATATATTATGTATATCTATGTAGCATACTTCATACTTAATGGCTGTGTGATTTACACTTGCCTTTCATGCCTAAGTATCATTCTTCAGCATTTAATGCCTGTGTATTTTACAACTGTTTAATGCCTGTGCTTTTATGCCTGTTTTTAATGCCTGTGTTTTCCATCTGTGCTTTATGCCTGGGAGGCAATTGTCTGTTTAATGTCTGTGTTTGTCTCTGTTTGGTGCCTAATGCCTGTGCTTTCCAACTGTGTTTGATGCCTGTGTGCTGTGTGTGTTGTGTTTAATGCCTGTCATGTCTCTGTTTTTAATGTCCGTGAGTTCTTTGTGTCAGTGTTAAATGCCTGTCTGGTTTGTTCACCTGTAGGGGCTCCAGTGGAAAGGACATAAACACAATCAAGTCCCTCCGTGTTCTGAGAGTTCTCAGGCCCCTGAAGACTATTAAGCGGCTTCCCAAATTGAAGGTATGGACTTTTATTGTAGAGCTTTATCTAACAGCACCGCATCTGGTGCCGGCTTTATGATAATGGACATAAGTCATTGTTGTTGTGAACTTTCCGCTGCCATCCCTCCTCATTTCCAGATTGCTGATTCATACACGCACCTCAGCCTCACTTCATTGAGCTAATCTCAAAACCTTTGCACTTTCTCCTCCCACAGCCATTACTTCTGCAGCAGCTTTGAGCTGTGTGAATTACTGCTCTGATTCCTCCTGTGTCTCTACTGTAGCACCAGAAACAAGGTGAAATAACTCCAAAGAAGTCACGTCACCCTTCATTTACATGTGAACAAACCTTGAATTTAGCACTGCCTCATTCAGAGTGGCAGTATCTCTGACACTCCCCCTTATTGTATGTCAGCCAGGGCTCCCTGACTGGATCAGATTAACAGCCCCAAACAGGGAACTTGTATTCTTTGAGCTCCAGCTACAGTAGACTGCACAGGAAGCTCAAAATCACACAGTCACATTTCCACAATACTTATACCACTCCATCCAGGAATGTTGACCATAAGCTAAGAATACTGCTTCAGTCATTGCTAAAGCTACTGTAAGGTCCTTCGGTTAGAGACGTAGTGGTGTAGTGGTTAGGTCACTGGCTTGGTAATCCAGGGCCCTGGACTAATGCCCTTAGGACATAGGTTCAAAACCCATCATGGCAGATAGTGAAATTTGAATTCAATAGAGCTTAGATTTGAAATCTGGCTTAATGGTCACCATATCACTACTGTCACTTGTTGTAAAAACCCATCTGGTTCACTAATGCACTTTAAGGAAGGATTTCTGCCATCCACACCAGGTCTACATGTGACTCCAGACCAGTGAGCAATGAGGTTAACTCTTAAGTGCCCTCAGAAAAGGCTGAACTTAAAACTCAGTTCAAGGGCAATGAGGGATGGGAAACAAATAGTGGCCCCTCCCAGTGATGCTGACATCCATGGAAGAATTTTTTTTTAAGTCCCAGCATCAACATTGAACACTGGTTCTGACAAAGGGGGAGGGAGAGGGATTTGTGACACAATTCCTTGTCATTTCTATGGTGTACTCATCATTTTCCCCTCTTCCCAGCACTTCCAGTTCTAATGCAGATAGAGCCATGAAGCACGGAAGCAGACCCTTTGCTCCAACCTGTCCATGCCAACCTGACGTCCCAATCTGACCTAATCCCATTCACCAGCATTTGGCCCATATCCCTCTAAACCCTTCCAATTCATATACCCATCCAGAAGCCTTTTTAATGTTGCAGTTGTATCAGCCTCCACCCCTTCCTCTGGCAGCTCGTTCCATATATGCACCACCCTCTGCGTGAAAAATTTACCCCTCAGGTCGTTTATAAATCTTGCTCCTCTCACCTTAAACCTATGCCCCTCTAGTTTTGGACTCCCCCACCCTAGGAAAAAGACCTTGGCCATTCACCCTGTCCATGCCCCTCATGATTTTATAAACCTCTGTAAGGTTACCCCTCAGCCTCCGACACTCCAGGGAGAAAAAATGCCCCAGCCTATTCACGCCTCTCCCTATAACACAAACCCTCCAGTCTTTGCAACATCCTTGTAAATCTTTCTTACACTGTTTACAGTTTAATAAAAACCTTCCTATCGCAAGGTGACCAGAATTGTATGCAGTACTCCAAATGTGGCCTGACCAATGTCCTGTACAGCTGTAATGTGACATCCCAACTCCTGTATTCAATGCTCTGACCGATGCATGCCAAATGCCTTCTTCACTACCCTGTCTACCTGTAACACCACTTTCAAGCAACTATATACCTGCCTATGTCACTGCCTCACCGTTCCCGCTCTCATCATCACTGCCTCAACGTCCCCGCTCTCACTGTCGCTGCCTCACCTGCCCCGCTCTCACCGTCACTGTTTCACCGTCCCCACTCTCACATCACTGCTTCAACGTCCCTGCTCTCACCTTCACTGCCTCACCGTCCCCGCTCTCACCGTCACTGCCTCACTGGCCCCGCTCTCACTGTCACTGCCTCACCGGCCCCGCTCTCACCGTCACTGCCTCACTGGCCCCACTCTCACCGTCACTGCCTCACCGGCCTCAGTCTCACCGTCACTGCCTCACCGGCCCCAGTCTCATCGTCACTGCCTCACCGGCCCTGCTCTCAACATCACTGTCTCACTGACCCCACTGTCACCGTCACTGCCTCACCGGCCCAACTGTTGACCCGCTGTTGCTACAGGTCACAACCCGCGTGTTCAGCTCCCATCCACGTGGTTCCCGGTCGTGACCCAGCTCCTCAGGTCAGTAGTTCCAACGGATGGGGGTGGGGTTATAGACTTAGTACAGAGGGAGAGAATAGAAGGGGGAGAAAAAAGGAAGGACATAGAAAGGAAGTGAATGAGAACCGGTGAGCAGAGTGGTGCTCTGAATGGCGCACCTTACCCAGCCGCCATCTTGCCAGATTCCTGACAGTGCATTCCATCCCTTGTTACTCGCTGCGTGGTAAAGTTTCTTTTTTACATCACCCTTGCTTCTTTTGCGCAGTGATTTAAAAACAATTCAGTTTTTTGACTTTTGCTATCAAGGTGGGTAATTTGACACTTTGCCGACATTATACTTCACCTGCCAACTTCTGCTCTCCCCTGCCTACATCCCTTCGCAGCCTCTTTGTGTTCTACACCCAACTTACTTTCCCACCTGCCTCTGCGTTGGCTGCGAATTTTGGATACGTGACACTCCAACCCCTCACCGCTTCATCACAATTGGTTGTAACTAACTGGGCCCCCAGCCCAGAACATTGCAGCACTCCACTCAATACAACCCACCAACCTAAAGGCGACATGGGTCAACTACTTTCTTTTGTTTCAGTTTTACCTTTATTCATTTACGGCATGTTATTTCGTGGAATGTGATTTTATTTTCCCCTGGACGCTGCTGATAACCATATTAGATGTTCCCCCTTGTTCTTCTATTGCTTTGTTTTTCTGTAAATGATGCACATTTATTCTTCCCAGTTTCCTTTTGATTCCTAAAAAAAAAAGGTCATTCATTATTTTAGATAACAAGGTGTAGAGGTGGATGAACACAGCAGGCCAAGC